TGAAGGAAATTCTGAAAATAGGTACTGATTGAGCAAATGCCTCCTTCCTCCCCACATTACCCTCCTCAGCACTCTCCACTCCTTGTTTAACAAAACCTACTTTTCCCTCTTGCTTTTCTTTGCATCCTTGATTGGGGGCACATCATTTGGGTTTCGGCTTCATCTAATACTTGGTATCTCTCTTTTATTTCATATCATTCTATTTATTTTTATGAAAGATAAAGGGAGCTGTTAATTATAAGCTGACTGATGTAACAAAGAGCTCTTAATTAATTATCAGAACTGTTAAGTCCTAATCACCACCAGAGATGGTTTACTGGGACTCTAAAAAGTTGGGCTTAGAGAGTGTCCCTCTAGAGTTGCTGTATGCTATGCCCAAGGGTCAGATTACCCTGAAGGCTGGGTCAGCTGCAGCCTTGCCCAACTCCAGCTGTTCCTGCAGGTTCTAATACTGTGAGCTGATCTGTGTTTTTCCCCCAGAGAGAGAAGAGCATCTCCAACTTGCCTCACTGTTGGTGTCATTAGCGGTTGTCTAAGACTTGGAAAAGCCATTATGGCTTTCAAGCAGCTGTGGTTGGTAGAACATTAGACTGGCCTATGGTGATTCTGGCTTCTAGTCATGACTTTGTAAGTCACTTTGCCTTCCAAGACCTCCCTTTCCTCACGGGCAAAATGAGGGCTTGGGAGTGGATCATCTCCAAGATTTCTATCAGCAATGGCCTTCTTGTATCCTCCAGGGAAGGGGATGATAATCCCAGGAGAAGTGGCATTCCATTTGATTTTTGGGTACATTAACAGTATTCTGAATTTGAGTGAATGGAGGTCATTTGGCCCTTTTTGTAAACTTTCCAGTTTCTTCCCATCATTTTTCTTTTCTCTTAGTCTTTCACTTATTTCTTTTCCTTTAATTTCTTCCCTTTTCTTTTCCTTTGCTGACTTTCTGTATTTCTAGGGTTAATGTGGAAGGAAAAAGATTGGCAAAGTGTTACAATCAAGGGTGTTGGTCGATTTAATGAAGAAGTTACTTATGTTTTTTTTTTTTTAATTCTGTCCTCACAGAAAAGCTTTCTCTATCAGAAATTGTATCAGAAGGTAGCCAATATTATTGAATTTATGAAGACTGATGGTAGAGTGGCCAATATTAGGAAATATAAATTTGAAATTACATGTTTGAATTTTATCATAACTCATTTTATTATAACTGGGGGAAAACTATACATTGTATCCATCACTGAAAAAGCTGTGTCTAAACTGACAGATTATTGTCCATTCCCAAAACTGTTTTTTAATCTTTGACTCACTTTTGAAGGAACACATCATGTAGATGGTATCGTGGCACTTTCTCACTTATTAGAGCAAGTTTTCTGGGGATGGGGGCTGAAGTCATCTTTGCTCCGTATCTCTCCTGCAACCAATAGCTTGCTTGTATACTGTGTCTTCCAGGATAATCTTTTCTGATTGCCCTTATTGAAATCCTAAGAAAAATCTTCAAACAATCCAACCTGTTTAGACCCATACAAACAGCATACGGTAGGGAATCCGGGAAGCTGAGGAATTTGTTCTGTTTATTTTTTTTACTGACTGTACACTAAGGTTATATTCAGGAGGATCAAAGGAACTATTTGCCTTTCCCCTTTTAAAAATCTTTACTTCTGCTTTCTATTTACTCTTCGAGAGCATATGCGCTCAGGCTTTTGTTTCTGTATGTAAGTAGATTATAGGTAACTCTTTCCAGCATGATGTACTCCTTCAAGGTTTTGGAATTCAAAATGTGCTTTTCCCCAAGGACAGCTGTGTTAATGGTTGGGTTCCACTGTAATGCTACCATGTTTCAGGAATATTATGTGCTAAATGGCATCTCTTTTTATTGGAATGTCCATTCTCAGAACTGATCTTTTTCCCTCTGAAAGTAGGGCAGTCATTCCCCTTCTAAGAAGGTGCCTGCAACAAGGCAGTAGTTGCTTCTGCTTGTGCTGGGGAGTGGTGGTCAGGATGGGATAAGTCCCACTGCCTTGGGGTCAGTGACTTTGTGGGTGAAAGGACACTGGTAATTTAATTATCCATATTTGCTTTACAAATATTTTCTGGGATAGGAAATTCTATCTTAGATGCTTACTCCCCACCCTATACTATGCAACCAGGGTGGGGAAGCACCATTCATGTTGTAATATATGTGGAAAGTATGCCTAGAATTGTGCAGTGCAAAATCCAGCCAACTGCACCTGGTAGTTCTTAACCCTGGAATTACGTTTTTGTTGTCAGTTTATATGTTCCATCTTAATAATTAGTTAGGTACTGTGTAAGCAGTTCCTGCTTTACAAAACAGTTGTGTCTCAGTCTACATTTTAAAACTGGTGGTTTGGAATTTGCAGCCAAAGGGGGTGGGGGGGAATGAGATAAATAGTGGTGAGTTTTCTAGGTTACCCACAAAAATCTTCTCAATCATACTGTAATTGAACTCCTAAAGACTGTTCGCAACAGTATTTTTTTTTTCCATTCTTCAGTAAATTATCCAGAGTATTGAATAAGAAATCTTCCACCTGGGTTGGTTGTCTTCATTGAAAAGAGGGTTCATCGGGGGCAATGTATACTACATTTGGTGGGAAGGGGAGATCAGAGAGGTGACAGGAACACATTCCACACATCTTTGCAATGTCTCATCTTCCACTGTGCACAAACCCTGAATCTCCTAAATTGAGTGCTTCTGCTCAAAGTCAAGTTGTATTTGTGGGATCAAAAGGAGAAACTGGGCCAGGCGCGGTGGCTCACGCTTGTAATCCTAGCACTCTGGGAGGCCAAGGCGGGCGGATTGCTCAAGGTCAGGAGTTCAAAACCAGCCTGAGCGAGACCCCCCCCCCCCGCCCCCGTCTCTACTATAAAAATAGAAAGAAATTAATTGGCCATCTAATATATATATATATATATATATAAAATTAGCCGGGCATGGTGGCTCGTGCCTGTAGTCCCAGCAACTCGGGAGGCTGAGGCTTAAGAGACGGAAGAATCAGGCTCTGTTTTCAAGGCACTCACTCTAGCCTGGACAACAAAGGGATGTCTCAATCAAAAAAAAAAAAAAAAAAAAAAAAAAGGAGAAACTGGGCTGGGTCTGGTGGCTCACTCCCGTTGTACCAGCACTTCAGGAGGCCAAGGCCAGAAGAGGAGGATCACTTGAGCCCAGGAGTTCGAGATTGTAGCCAGCTATGATGATACCATTTCGGAGATGGAGTTGGACAAATCATGTATTTTTAAATGTTAACTTGAAATCTATAGCCACACTGATCATGAGCATTAGCAGTATTATAGGGGCAGCAATATAATTGTTGAAATCAGCACCTGCAGGATTTATATTGATTCAAATCCTTCTTTTGTACCTCTTGAGTCCTAAGCTTTCTTAAAAAAAAAAAAATAAGTAGTGACCTAAGTAAGGTCTTCTCAGGCTTCTTAACCTATAGAGTCAATTGGGTATTTCTTTATACTTATATAAATTACAGCTTTCAAGCACCCCTCTTATGTTCACAATCCTAGAAAATAAATAGGTTTGGATACTCACATTCAAGTCATCTTAACTCTTGACTCACTCATGAGTATACTGGAAACACCTTCCTAGTTTTATCAGTAAAGCATCCGTCTGTCTTAATTCCAGACACTGTCAAATCCCAATCTACACTAGAAGTCTCCTTGGTGTCTGGTCCTAGTTGATTTGCAGCTCTCACTATAGGCAAGAAATTATTTTCTAGTACCCAGATAGTTTCTCTGCAGCATTAAAGCAAATGGCCAAAGTACGATTCCAATTGCTGTTTGTAGTATTGGGGTATAAGGGAAAGTGGAATTGAAGCCTCAGTCTTGTTTATTTGCCAAGCATTTTACTTTTAAAGTTTACTTTTAACTTTTACTAATTTTTGCTTTTTCTTGAAAGAAACGGGGGAAAGCTATGGGCTTGCAGGGTGGCTTTAGAGAATAGATTAGAGCCTCTCTGAGAGTCTTATAATCACAATCAGGCATCTCTTTGAAGTATTCCCTCCTCAAAGTCTACAGTGACCACATTCATGCCTCAAGGGGTGTGGTACAAATGGCCTGGTGCCACCTGACTCATTAGTTTCCCCACATCTTGTACTTAATAAGTTGCAAAAGAAAAAATGTGCATCCAACCAATTTTTAGGGGTGTTCCAGTTGCCTGTTGGTCAGAACCTTCTTATCTCCCTTCTCCATCCCTCAAATTCAGAACAGAATTCCCCTGGATGTCTAAGGGATCACTTTGTTGCTCCCAACAGTCAGTTTTATATGAGGGTTAAAGATAGGAGGCGTATTAAGTTCAATTATAGCATTGCTTTTTTTATGGGTCGAAATTGGTAGAGTATCAGCCATTTCATGAAATTCAACCCAATAGCATCCTTTGGTAGATATCTACCTAAAGCAGCATTAGTGAATGTTTGGATAAAACCCACACTGTGGAGTTCTTCTTAAAACAGAAGCTTGAAGTTTTCTCAGTGAGAAAAGCTACTTCTCTATCTATTCCCCTTTGTCTTTTCTGAGAGAAATTAGAAAAAAAGCTTTTCTATTTGGAGAAATGCATATATTTTGAGATTAATATGAAATAAGTGTAAGCAGAATGTCCCTTGGTCTTGCAAAAAAATTTTTTTCTGGAGGTTATAAATGGATGTTATAATGGAAAATGCTTTGAAACCCTAACCAGAGCATTCACTATAAATAAAAGAGCAGCGGAAGATTAATAAATCTGATAAAGCTGAGAAGGAAGAAAACTTAAAATAAGAAATGAGGACTGTACCTTCATTGGATTGTTAATACAGCCCTGAGTATATATATAGGAAAATCAAAGACTTGCTAAAGGCAGCGCATACTAAGTCATAGCTATTAATGTGTGCTTAACTCTATTGCCCGGGAGATTTTATTAAATGCAGCGGCCAAGAAAATTGACCTTACTTTTTTTTTTTTTTTCTTTTTTGGGTTGGATCCTTTGCTCACGTCACATAAACGAACAGAGCTCACAATTTACTGGTTCATCAATGAAACGATATTAAATTATGAAGATGTAAGGAAAAAATCCTACGCTACCATTGTCGCAGTTTGAAAGGTAAGCTTTTCCCTACAAGATCAGGAGATATTAATTTGCTTTTAAAATCTACGTAACATAATGCCATGTGATACACAGTAGAGGGTTGAATGGCATTTTGACATCTTTGACTGTTAGTATGATCCTGGCAAGTATGTTCTTAGTAATGTAAAATGTTTTCCTCATTCTGTCTTTTAAAGTGCAAAAAAACATCATTTTGAATGCTTTTAAAGGGTTTTATTTTGTGGGATATTCTGACAAAATTGGACTTTCCTGAGAATCTGTTGCTGTGATTGTGAGGTTCCTTTTGAAAGGCTTTTGCCCTTGTTTTTACTGATTCGCTACATTTATCAGTAAGGAGCCTTATGGTTGTCAGGGTCAGGCTATTTCTTAATTCCTGTCTTTTGGTGATGGGTAAGAAATAAACGATTACTTTTCTTTATGCCTTGTCCTGTGCTTAAGATGGGAAACCTGCTCTTTCTAATTCTGTCTTCTGTGAGCTTATAGAAGGTTCTTGGTATGCCATCAATTACCAATTGAATACTCAGTTCTTTCCAGGGATATTTAGAGGTTGAGTCTACTTCACCCCAATTTCGAAGGAAAACTATATCATACCTACTTTCCCAGGTTTACTATCAATTACTCAATTGCTCTCCTAGATCCAGGTCCTTACGTTGGGTCCATGAACCGCATTGTGATGACTGTCACATGAGGATCACAGTTCTTTGGGTGGAACGTGTCAGGGCTTCTATCATACTCCCACATGGGTTTGTAACTCGAGAAGGGAGAAGAGTCCCACTGCCCCCTCTAAGCCAGGGTCAGTGACTTAATGGTTACCTTGGGTACCTGCAGTGTCCGGCGCACAGTAGGTACTGCAGGAATCCGTGCATACTCACTGCCATGATGCTTCTCAGCCATGCTTGCTACGGAACCTTCTGGAGGAAGTCAGATTTCTGAACAGCAGTGAGCATATTCCTGCTTTCATGTGGAAAATGGCACTTTAGAAGTTGAATTACCTTTTTTTGTGGCACCCAAGTTGCTTAATTTGCAAATGGAGAATAATTTAGGCAGTGGGAGAATATGTTTCCATGCCTGAAGTGGATTGGAATGAATTTGGTGTTCTCTCTGTTCCTTCGGTTCAGACTATCATAAAATGGAATTTTGGCCCCAAATCATTCAGTTACAGGATTCTGGGATATCGTCTGTTGTTTTGTATAGAATCGGTTTAACTTTAAATATTGTTGGCACTATTGTAGTCCTATAGACTACAGGTGTGTCCTGCTTTAAGAAAACTTGGCTGTGCTTCAAATTCGTGCTTACTATACCATTGCATGAAGGGGCGATTATTTGCACACCAAAAATAGCTTGGCTTTATAAAATAATTTATCATGAGATTCCTTTAAATAACCAACTCTCCTAGCGCATTTAAACTATGATTTGATTTGAAAAATCAATGGCTACTCCCTCAACTTTTCAAGAACACATCTGCTTTGTAATGTGAGGCAGGTAAAGGGAGGACATCAAGCTACAAAGAATGAGGGTCTTAAGTGAGCCGAATAGGAATTAATTTTCATTTAGAAAAGAATTTGCTTTTCTAGAGTTTCCCAGGGAAAACACCTTCACCTTTATCACCTCCAGAGTACATAAGAAAAAAAATAACAATAAGCAAGTCAGTTTGGACAATTGCAGTTTGGAAAAGGTAAATCTATTTCTTTGGTGGGTCACATTCTGCATTATGCATGTGCGTTAAAGTGAGGTTTGCTTTGATCCTGACTATAAAAAGTTTATTTTTAAACTCAGACTGGGCAGGAATCCAGAGATGCTCTTTCCCCTGCAACACATCCTGGGTTTCAGGTCCCCAGCCCCCGGTGGAATGCAGCTAAGCAGCAGGAAGTAGTTGAAAAGTGTAGACACTTGATGGGTGCTGAGGTTTTCCTACCCCCTTCTTCCCCTCCATTTTTGAAATTCAAATTGAATGCAATTTTCAGCTCATTTGAGCCAGAATATACTGTTGCTGAGCTTCAGTGGCTCTTAAATTCAAACTCACAGGAGAAAACAGATATCATCTGTCACAGAGGGTGGGAGACAGAATACTCCCCGCATTTTATTCATGGGAGGCCGAGCTCTAGTAACTAATTCAAACCTTTCTGACTAATTGACTAATCATTCACCAGCAAACTTATCAACTAATCAATGAAACCTTTAGGACACCCATCTTAGGAAGTCTTGGAGGAGTTACCCCCTCTGTTTGAAAAAAAAACATTGCTCAAGTCTATTTTTATATGGTTGGTATTTTAATACCCTTTTGGCCAACTGAGACAGAATATCAGGGCAATCTTTTTTCTGCCCTTCCTGACTATTTTTATTGTTTCCATCCTTAATGTCTTCATCAATGCTACTTATTTATGACTGAGAATTAGCAGAAAGCTTACAGCTGGCTAAGGGGTGCCAAAATTTTGAGTTTTTAAAAAAATTTTTTACTTTATTAAACAGACTGCCTGAAAAAATATCCTTCTTTCTTGGAGCAAATACAAGTAATCATTAAAAGGGGGAGACCCACTTATACGGTTCTTGAGATTGCAAGTGTGGCTTGAGAATTCCTCTGAGTAAATAAATATCTGCCAGTTCATGAGTATGTGCCCAGGGGATGCAAATAGATTTGAACAAATGAAAATCTGAAATTCCTTCTCTGATTTCAGAAAGGGTGCGATGTGGTGAAATATAGGTTATATGATGTATCACTGATGCTTATCCTTGACTGTTTTAGTACAAGCCAACATTTCCATTGGAACATGATGGCCATTAGCTTTCTCTTGTTGTTTTTCTTTTCTTTTTTCTTGAGGTCCATGTGAAAGAAGTTAATTATGATGTTATTTCAAAGTAAGTAGGAGTAAAACAATTTGATGTCGAAATACCATTATTTTTATTGAAGTTAGTTCATAGCCATCATGCTTTGAGTTGAAATTGTTTTACAATAAATATGTAATCTGGCCATGTGTGTTTATACTTGCGTGCGTGCGTGCGTGTGTGTGTGTGTGTGCGTGTGTGTGTGTGTGTGTGTGTTTACACATCCCCAAGGTCTCTAAGAATGTGACAGCAGGAATTTCCAAATGGTCATTTTCACATTAATAAAGTCATCAACCACTTTTTTTTCTTAATAGTAATGTGGTTGTAAATTAGATCCCTGGTAGAAGACATTTATTTCCTATTTTATAAGAATGACACTGCAACATGTTTTCTCACTATTACACCTCAGCACAACTAGCACCGCTGTATTATTGTTTCTTTGATATATGCAGCAAGAAACCTAAACGCTACTGTGAAATTGTGACTTATAATAAGAGATACATATTTTGGTCTCTGCTCTGGTTCCCGACCACAGGGCTCCTAATCCCTCGGAATTTCCTGGGTAATAGGAGTGGTGTATGTTCTAATGAGGTGACTCTCGGTGGGCTTCTGGATAGGGGCTGGTCACCAGAAAGACCAAGTCATGATTAGAAGGTTGAAACTCTCACCCCACTTGTTATCCTCCAGAAAGGGGAGAGGAGCTGGAGGGTGAGTTAATAATCGATCACACCTACATGATGAAACCTCCATAAAAATCCCCGAACCACCGGATTCAGAGAGCTTCCGAGTTGCTGAACATGATGAGGTCCTGGGAATGTATTTTGCCTAGAGAGGGCGTGGAAGCTCTGCACCCCTTCCCACGTTCCTTACCCTACGCACCTCTGCCTCTGGCCCTAGCACCCGCCATTTGACTTTCCGCTTCTGTGAGTTTGACCACTCTAGGTGCCTCATATAAGTGGAATCATGTAGTATTTGTCCTTTTGTGCCTGGCTGATTTCACTCAGCCTTATGTCTTCAAGGTTTATCCATATGTAGCATGTGTCAGATTCCTAACTCCTTTTTTAAGGCTGAATAATATTCCACTGAATATATATATATGCCACATTTTGTTCTTCCATTCATTTGTTAGGGACATTCAAGTTATTTTCACATCCTAAAATACATAATCCACCATGTAAGCTAGTAACTCGGGAGATGGTCAGTGCACTGTGGCTAGTAGATTTGAGCAGGGGAGGAAAGGGAAGATTTAGGAATCATTGATACGCTTGGCAAAGTCATCCAAAATGTCCAGGAACAGGGAGACTTTGACAGAAGGAAGAGGAAACCATTCCAGTTGGGCCATGGCAGCCTTGACATGAAGAAGGTAACGAAGATGGGTGCCGTAAACTTCAAATGATGGTAAATATTGAGAAGGAATGTTGAGAGACACTCATTTTTTTCCATTCCCTTGTTATGGAAATAAAAGAGTGGGATTTATGAGAAGGGGCATAAAAAAAGCAAGACACACTGTCTGAGAGGAGAAACTTGGGTAAGAGGTGAGAAACAGTGGAGGCTACAGGGGGCTTTGGCCACAGGCTGACACTCACAGGTTTCCACAGGGCACCGGGGAGAGATGTAATGGCAAAGGAAGAGCCAGTCAAATCTTAATTCAAAGCCATTCTACAAACTTCCCGCACGAAGGAGCCTTCAGCACTACAATCCCGGTGACTGTCTACTCTGTAGGAAACGACAATATGGAGAAAGAGATTCCACAGCCGCCATTAGACACCAATCCCTCATGTTCAAGACTTTCTTCTTTTCAACTAGACTAGTTTGGGCTCTTTTCTCCTCCTTGTCCTTTCAGTGGCTGGAAAAGAATGCTTGAAACTCACCCCATGAAAACCCCTCACGTGCCTGAATTCTGTCTCCGTTAAAGATCAGAACTGGATTAAACTCTTTTCCCCTAACAACTTCTTAGCTACAGTTTTCTAAGCCTTTAATGCCCTTTGGATTGTCTGCTCTAAGTTCTGCTGGGTTAAAGTACACCAGCAGGGGCAGCCAGATTTGGCCGTGTCCTGTGTGGAGCTAGGGTTCTCCTGAGGGAGCCGGTAGCCCCGTCCCAAGGCGCCAATCTCCAGCACAGGCCCTGCCTGGGCACGAAAGGCGCCATATTTCTGAGAGCAGCATGCCAAGAG